CCATGTGCAGAAGCATCGTACGCACGACCTCAACCACCGTGCGCATCTCTCGCTCGGCCATCCCGTTCTGCTGCGGAGTGTAGGGGTATGTCAGATTGTGGAAGATTCCCTTGTCCTCGACGAGGTCGGTGAAGGCGCAACCGAGGAACTCTCCTCCGCGGTCCGAACGCAACTTCTTCACCGTCTTCGACGTCTGCCGCTCCACCTACTTCAACCATTTTTCGAAGACGACCAGCACGTCGCTTTCTTCACGATTGGCCTCACCCACACGTAGCGAGTCTTCCTATCTTTCAGCACAATAAATTAGAGGCTGCCATGGTTGGCGGCCACTCGAAATAGCCCGCAGAGGTCGATGTACACCACATCAAGCGCATCCACGGCGTCCGATCCTTGGTCGGGGAAGGTGTGCTATGCAAGTTTGCCGCCGACGCAGGAGTCACACGGCAGATAAGTTGCGGTCGACTTCTTGATATCCAGACCGGCGGCGACCTCATGTTTCGCCGAGCTCTTGATCGTGTCGATGCTGACGTGCGCAAGCCGTGCGTGCATCATGTCCGGGGTCAACTTTGTCGCCGACGCAATAGTTTGTAGAGCTACTACCTCAGAACCAGCACCTCCATTGCCAGCACCTCCAGCACCAGCACCCCCCAAACCAGCACCTCCAGTGCCACCACCTCCAACACCAGCACCCCCAGAACCAGCACCTCCAGTGCCAGGACCTCCAACTCCAGCACCCCTAGAACTAGCACCTCCAGTGCCAGCACCTCCAGTGCCAGCACCTCCAGTGCCAGCACCTCCAACTCCAGCACCCCCAAAACGAGCACCTCTAGTGCCAGCGCCTCCAACTCCAGCACCCCCAGAACTAGCACCTCCAGTGCCAGCACCTCCAGCTCCAGCACCTCCAGAGCTAGCACCACCTGCGCCAGCACCTCCAGCTCCAGCACCAACTGAGTCCAGAGTAACCTGTCGCGGAAGTGCCGAAGGCTGCTGAGGGGACTGTGAGGAGGACTGCGGGGAGGGAGACGCTACCTGACGCGCGACCGAGGGTAGAGGGGTAGCGTGGGACACACCAGACGGGGCAGGACCAGGGGGGGGCGGGGGTACCGGAGGAGCGGAAGCAGGAGGAGGAGAGGGTGCAAGGAAGAGGGAGGGAGGGGGTACCGAGAGACCTCGACAGGGGTATCGGGTGTAGTAGGACATAGACTCGTCAAACCGGACGTCACGGGAGTCTAGGAAATGGTGGAGGGGAGGGTGGTAAAAGGACCAGTCAGCAGAGTCCACCGGGAAACCAAGGAAGACACAGGGGACGGCGCGTGCCGAGAGCTTGTCCGCGGAGGTGTCGCGAACAAGCGCAAGGCAGCCCCAGACACGAAAGACTGACCCAACACCAGGGGACCCGGTCCAAAGACTGGTCGGTGAAGCTTCGGGCCGTGAGACGCGCGGCTGGAGGTTCAGCTAGTGTGCGGCGTAGCAAACCGCGTAGGGCCACAGAAAATGGGGCGCACGGGCATGGATCATAGACGTGCGAGCAATATCCATGACCAAGCCAATGCGGCGCTCAGTAACCCCATTCTGCTATGGGGACTCCGGAAGCGTCCGGGACTGTACGATGCCCTGTTCGCCGCAGAATCCGGCAAGAACGCCAGAGCGAAACTCGCCCCCATGGTCAGAGTGTAGACAACTGACACGACGACCACGAGTGCCCTCAGTGGCCAGAAGCCACCGGATCAGCGTAGGAGTCACCTCGGACTTCTTTGCGAGAGGGAACACTGTGGTGTACCTGGAGAAGTCGTCGACGACCACCTGAAAGTAACGCTCCCTCCCAAATCCCTGCTTCGGGGCAGGGCCCCAGACGTCCAAGTGGAGGGTCTCGAAGGGAGCAGTGGCCGGACGAAGGGAGGAGGAGTGGGGAGTGGCTCGTAAGCGACCGGCGACGCAAGGAGTGCAAGGGGGAGCAGGGGAGGTGGGGAGCGACGGAAAGGTGCATGGGAGACCGGTGACAAGCCCGTGAGTGGTCATCCCGCGGAGGCCGGGGAGCGACGGGTGGCCAAGGCGGTGGTGCCACAAGACCGTCCAGTGGGTGAGGGACCGACAGGAGCAGGACGAAGCGACTGGGCTAGACAGCGCGACCTGACTAGACACTGCAACTGGACAAGACACGACCACCTGGCTAGACACAGCGACCGGACTAGACACTTGGACTGGAGGGGACGCAACCGGGGAGCGCTCGGTGTGGAGAACGTAGAGACCGGAGCGGGGCTCCCTGGTGAACGTGGCCAGAATAGCACCTGTGGCAGCGTCTTTACAGACCGCAGTCCTCCCACCCCCCACAAAGGTAAACGTGATCCCCCTGTCCTAGAGGTAACCATCACCCACCAAGTTCCGAGTGAACGAGGGAATGTGGAGGCCATGCAAGACACCAGAGGGGAACACAGGACACGGGAGGGTAGTGGAGCTACGCGCAATGGCTGGTCCTGAGGTAGGATCAGCCAGAGCCACCGAAACAGGAGTGAGGAGAGGCGTGGGGGTCGTGTGGTCGCAGAAGAAGCACTGAGACGCACCAGAGTCCAGCATGAAGGACAGGGACGCCTCAGCCGGAGGGTCACCTGTCTTAGTGGCTACACAAGCACCTAGAGCAGCAACACAAGCACCTAGACTAGAAAGGCACAAGTCTACACTAGCAGGAGGCAAGCAAGATAATCTACGAACACGCGAGCACACAGATCCATCAGCACTATAGTCAACATCAGCATACAAAGCATGCTGACGAGCATCGTCCATGGACATATCAAACACATCAATCTTACGGGCTAACAGGTGAGCCCAGCGAGGCCTGGTCGCCGTAGGGCCCCAGCGAGCACGATAGAGGTCGTCGAGGCGGCGGAAGCACCGCGCGGCAGAGTGGTCGTCACGACCGCAGAGACAGGGGCTGCCAGGTCCGGTGAGGCACTAGTGGGTGCAGGGGCCAGTGTCACGGTGAGGGGGGCAAGGGGCCCAACTGGAAGTGCTGCCGCTGCGGGCGGTGCTCCTTGGTCCTCCTGGACACCACTGCGGCGGGGGACCCCAGTGCTGCTGCGGACCCCACTGCAGTGGGGGCCCCCATTGCTGGAACTGCTGCGGTGCCTGCTGCTGCTGCGGTCCCTGCTGCTGCTGCTGTCCCTGCTGTGGGTGGTGCTGCTGCGACTGCTGCTGCTGGGGTCCAACACCCCCACCAGTCAGGCCACCGCCAGTGGGCGGGCCTGTCTGTCCTGCAACTCCTCCAAGGCCCCCTCCGCCTGGTGCACTCCGCCGCCGCCGCCGCTACCATCGCCTGCACCACCGCCGCTCCCACCTCCACCGCCGCCTCAACCGCCGCCTCCACCGCCGCCTCCACCGCCTCCACCTCCCCACTTCCCGCCCTTCTTGCCACTCTTGCCCCGTTTCTGCCAGTCTGCGGCAGAAATGGCAGCATTGTCCCCAGAAACCGACACAGCAGTAGAAGCACGGGTAGCAGTGAAAGTGGGAAGCTGAGGGGCGGCACACCCCGCAAAGAGACGGGGGGCCACCGCGTCAGCGGCGGAGGCAACGGTGAGGAGGCTACTCTTGATCGTCCTGAGAGCGGTCTCAAGGAGATCGATAGTGAGCTCAGTGGGGTGCTTCTGGAGAAGCGCGTCGCGAGCAGTGGCAAGGCGGTCAGGGAGGCGGGTGACTAACCAGTGCACAGTGAGCCATATAAGGGGAGGAGCAGCAAGAAGCTGGGCGTCGGTACAGGCCGCTCGGAAACCGGCATCAAGTGAGCGGAGGTGAGTCACTAGGTCGGACACAGTCGCAAACGAGCCGAGGTCGGGAAACAACCAACGGCATGAGGAGGCGACTGAGGGAGGCAGAGGAAGGGGTGGATTAGCGTGCAACAACAGCAGCCCAAACCCCCTGAGCTGTCTCCACCTGGTCAAAGTGGGCGGCCTCAGTCGGGGGGAGGAGCTCCGTCAGCGCAAGAGCGGCGGCAGCGTCGCGAGAGTCCCACATGTCCCTCGCCAAGACACGACGGTCGTAGTTCACCTGCGCTGCAGGAGTCGGCTCTGGGCCGGTCGGGAGGGGGTCGGGAGACAGGGGCGCCTTGAGGGCACCAGACACGTGGGCCCACAGGGTGGCGCCGTCCTGACGCTGACTGGTGAGGTAGCGCGTGGCCTGGCGCTGCCAGGTATTGAACTCGATCGGTCGCCCCTCCGCATCGAAACGAAGGCAGCGGGAGGAGTCCATATTGTACGCTAGGGTAGGAACGGCGGAGGTGAACCTAGGAGTCGTAGGAGCGCCAGTGGAGGAGGAAACCGGGCTAGGGGCTAGAGGCTAGGAGCTAAGTGCGACCCGGGTCGAAATCTAGCGACCGGAGCGAGAAGCGACTGCCAGCCGCGGAGTGAGAAGCTGTCAGAACTATATTGTAGGCTGCAGTGGGGTAGACAATATGGGGTACAACTCTTTTAGGTTTTCATACTTGTACCCACCTGCTTGCTAGTTCATTCATTCCTCGTTCTTATTCTCACATGGTATTAGAGCATAATCGTTCCTAGGGCCCACCGAACGTTCCGCCCTGCCCTAACTGAAAAAAAAAAAAAAAAAAAAAAAACTGCCCCTACAGCCGCGGTGCCCTTGCAGCCCGCGTGCTGCCCCTGCGACCGTGCTGCCCCTGCAGCCGTGCCTGCCCCTGCAGTCGTGCCTGCCCCTGCAGCCGTGCCTGCCTCTGCAGCCTGTGGGAGCTGCCTCTGCAGCCTGTGGGAGCTGCCTCTGCAGCCCGCGCGCCGCCCTCCCGATCAGCCGTGCCTGCCCCTGCAGCCAGTAGGCGCTGCCCTTGCAGCCGTGCCTGCCTCTGCAGCCCGTGGGAGCTGCCTCTGCAGCCCGCGCGCCGCCCTAAACCCTGCTCGTCGCGACGCCCCTGCGGGACCCGCGCGGCGTCCCCCCCCTGCTCGTCGCGGCGCCCCCTGGGCGCCGTCCCTGCTCGTCGCAGCGCCCCCGGAGCGTCGCCCCTACTCGTCGCGGCGCCCCCTGGGCACCGTCCCTGCTCGTCGGGACGCCCCCGGGGCGTCGCCCCTGCTCGTCGCGGCGCCCCCTGGGCGCTGTTCCTGCTCGTCGCGGCGCCCTCGGGGCGTCGCCCCTGCTCGTCGCGGCGCCCCCTGGGCGCCTTTCCTGCTCGTCGCGGCGCCCCCGGGGTGCCTTCCCTGCTCGTCGCGGCGCCCCTGGGGCGCCTTCCCTGCTCGTCGCAGCGCCCCCGGGACGTCGCCCCTGCTCGTCGCGGCGCCCCCTGGGCGCCGTCCCTGCTCGTCGCGGCGCCCCCGGGGCGTCGCCCCTGCTCGTCGCGGCGCCCCCTGCAGCAGCTGCCGCAGAGCCCCCTGCAGTAGCTGCCTCGGAGCCCCCTGTCGCCGTCGCGGCCCTGCCCTACAGCAGCTGCCGCGGAGCCGCCGGCAGCAGTCGCGGCCCCGCCTGTCGCGATACATATTTTATATGTATGTCTATAACTGCATGTAGCATTAGCTTTAGTGTAGTTATGCCTTCTTACATTGGTGGTGCACCTTCTCTATGTTCTTTTGCTATATGTTCTTGCAAACCTATAGTGAAACATTCCATTCTCGATTCTCCTTGTTACAACCACCTCGACGCCCGCTTGGCCTAGGCTACTAAGCCTAGGCCCTTAGTAAACTCCGGTTCCTAGACTAAGTTCGTTTCGTAACATGGTATTGAGCTAGGTCGTTCCCGACCTATTTTTTTTAAGGGCCCACCGTTAGTTATCGTGATGGCGCGTCTCATCAAGCAGCAAATCGCGGCTCCGTCCGTCCCTCCCCGTCGCTCGCCCATAGCAAAATCCGTCACGGCAGTCGTGACAGACGCAACGGTCACGGCGGGAGTGACGGCGCTCGTCGACCCGCTGTTTCGCGCCGTCGCTCTCCGCCCCGTCGACCCCGTGCACTACCCGCTACTGCAGCCCGCCACCCGCGAAATTTCCGGTGCTGCAGCCCGTCGCCCGTCCCGTCGCGCTGCCGTCCGTCACCAGATCCGTGTCGCCCGTCGCCAGATTCCCGCCACCCGTCCGCACACCGTCGCCCGTCGCCCTGCTTCCCGTCGCCCCAACCGCTCCTTATCCCGCCGTCGTTCTGCCCGTCGCATTACCCCCACCCCCTTACCCCCGCCCCCTGCCTGTCACCCCCCCCCTCGTCGTGGTTGTTCGCGTGTGCAGCAGTGGTCGCTGTGGAGGGGGTGTGGGAAGAAGGACAGGGAGTGGCGGCTGAACGCTGTGGGGGAGAGGGAAGCGGAGGAAGGGCATGGCGGGACCGCCAGCAGCTACAACGCCAGCGCCACCGCCAGCAGAGACCCCGCCAGCAGCTACACCGCCAGCAGAGACCCCGCCAGCAGAGAACCCCGCCAGCAGAGAACCTCGCCAGCAGAGAACCCCGCCAGCACCAGGAGCCAGCACCGGAACCAGCGCCGTCACGCCAGCACCAGGCCCCGGCACCAGACACCAGGCACCAGCACGAGCTCCAGGGCCAGCCGCCAGCACCAGCACCAGCTCCAGGGCCAGCCGCCAGCACGAGACCCTGCCAGCAGAGAACCCCGCCAGCAGAGAACCCCGCCAGTAGAGAACCCCGCCAGCAGAGAACCCCGCCAGCAGAGAACCCCGCCAGCAGAGAACCCCGCCAGCAGAGAACCCCACCAGCAGAGAACCCTGCCAGCAGAGAACCCCGCCAGCAGAGAACCCCGCCAGCAGAGAACCTCGCCAGCAGAGAACCCCGCCAGCAGAGAACCTCGCCAGCAGAGAACCCCGCCAGCAGAGAACCCCGCCAGCAGAGAACCCCGCCAGCAGAGAACCTCGCCAGCAGAGAACCCCGCCAGCAGAGAACCTCGCCAGCAGAGAACCCCGCCAGCACCAGGAACCAGCACCAGCACCAGGAACCAGCACCAGCGCCAGCCGCCAGCACCAGGAACCAGCACCAGCGCCGGCCGCCAGCACCAGAGGGGTTGAGTGGGCGGGTAAGGGGGTGGAAGAAGTAAGTCGGGCATTTGCAGCCGTTGCCTGTAGCAGGCACGCCCCCGGAGGTGCTGAGCGGTGCTGTCCAGCTGCTCGTTGCAGCCACAGCGCCTGCTCTCACGCCCACCTGCCGGGTCCTGCACCTGTCACTGCTGCATCTGCCGTGGCTGAGGTCACTGTGGCCCTATCTGTCATCACTGCACCTGCTGCCTGTAGTAGGCACGCCCCCGGAGGTGCTGAGCCGCGCTGTCCAGCTGCTCGTTGCAGCCACGGTGCTTGCTCTCACGCCCACCTCTCGGGTCCTGCACCTTCCGTTGTTGCATTTGTCATGGTTGATCTGTGTTGCTATTTCCTCTGCTTCTCCTACCTCTTGCCCAGGTTCCGGGGGTGTGTCTTGCTCAAGTTATGTGCTGCAGGCAGTTAAGGGGGTGTGTCGCGATACATATTCTATATGTATGTTTATAACTGCATGTAGCATTAGCTTTAGTGTAGTTATGCCTTCTTACATTGGTGGTGCACCTTCTCTATGTTCTTTTGCTATATGTTCTTGCAAACCTATAGTGAAACATTCCATTCTCGATTCTCCTTGGTACAACCACCTCGACACCCGCTTGGCCTAGGCTACTAAGCCTAGGCCCTTAGTAAACTCCGGTTTCTAGACTAAGTTTGTTTCGTAACACCGCCCTGCAGCAGCTGCCGCGGAGCCCCCTGCCGCCGTCGCGGCCCCGCCCTGCTGCAGCTGCCGCGGAGCCGCCTGCAGCAGTCGCGGCCCCGCCCTACAACAGCTGCCGCAGAGCCCCCTGCCGCTGTCGCAGCCCCGCCCTGCAGCTGTCCCGGCCCCGCCGTCGCCGCCGTCGTACGCCTACCCTGCTCGCCCGGCGAGCGACTGCCCTTCCCGTCCCTGGTGAGCACTTGCCCTACCCGCGCTTCCCGCGCGCGTGCCTTACTAGCGCGCTGCCGCGCTGGCCTGCCTGCCTGCCTGCCACGCCTACCTGCCAGCCGAGCCGCGCCGCCCAGCTGAGCCAAGCCGCCTTGCGGTGCCGAGCTGCCCAGCCGAGCCGTGTCGTGCTGTCGGGCTGTGCAGCCCTGCTCTACTGAGCCACACTGCCCTGCCCGTGCTGCTACTGCTGTTTCTGCTGCTACTCCTGCTGCTACTGCTACTACTACTACTACTACTGCTGCTGCTCCTGGCGGTGGCAAGATGCAGCTCCAGCGACGTCCGCGTGAGTCCCTCATGCCCCAGCAGGTTTGTGAGTGGTACGCTATTTGGGGTTGTAGGGGTGGCCGCGCTGCTACTGCTGCTACTGCTCCTACTGCTGTTACTGCTGCTACTGCTGCTACTGCTTCTACCGCTGCTACTACTGCTACTGCTGTTACTGCTGCTACTGTGGCTACTACTGCTACTGCTGCTCCTGGCGGTGGCCAGATGCAGCTCCAGCGACGTCCTCGTGAGTCCCTCACGCCCCAGCAGCTTTGTGAGTGGTACGCTAGTTGGGGTTGTAGGGGTGGCCGTGGTGGGAGTCGCCCTGAGGCGGGTCGTTCGGGAGCTTCTTGTAGTGACCAGGTGCAGCTGCAGCAGCGTCCGCGCGCGGTCCTTTCGCCCCAGCAGCTTCGTGAGTGGTACGCTCAGAGTAGAGGGTCACGGAGTACTGCTCGTTGCCCGTACGTCATTCGCACTGGTGCTCAGGCTGGTCAGCCTTGCGGGACGGTTGGTCACACAGAGTCCCGCTGCTTCGCCAGTCTGAGCGACGCCTATCATACAGAGTTTGGCGACGATGCTGAGCTCCCCTCCTGGCTGGAGCTGCTTAGGCAGAGGGTAGATATCTTTGCTCTTGACTATGATGCTATCCTCACTGCCATGTATGCATTGCCTACTAGTGCTGAGGGTGCCTGTTACCTGTGTGTGCCGCCTGACCCAGGTATAGAGTCTGCTGCTCTAGGTGCTGATGAGGCTGCTGCTCTAGGTTCTGGTGCGTCTCCTGCTCCAGGTGCCGGTGAGGCTGCTGCTCTAGGCGCTAGTGAGTCCACTGCTCCAGGTGCTGGTGCATCCGCTCTCTCTGGTACTGCGCCTGCTGCGGCCTTGCACACTTTCACCCTTGACTTGGGTGCTTCCCGCTCCTTCTTTCGCGACTGCACCACACTCTCGCCGCTCAGTCGGCCAGTGGCAGTCTCTCTTACTGACCCCTCTGGGGGTCCGGTCCTTGCACACTCCTCCACGGTTCTGCCGTGTCCGGCGGTCCCGTCTGGCTCTCTGTCTGGCCTCCACCTCCCCTCGTTCCCCATGAACTTGGTGAGTGGAGCTGACCTTCAGGATGCGTGGGTTGACCAGTTCACTCCTGGAGGTCAGCGGGTGACCCACTGTTCGTGTACTCGGACGGGCGGCACCTCGCCACGTTCTCCCTTCAGCCTGGGTAGAGTCTGTACACTCAGACTACCGTGTCTCCTCCGGTTGCTGAGTCTGGTCAGGTAGCTGCGTCGGGTCAGGTATTTGCTGCAGCGTCTCGGTCAGGTCCTGAGTCTGCCCCCTGCTCGTGTCGCCTCCTGTCTAACCAGACTCTCCTCTGGCACCACCGCCTTGGTCACCCCTCCCTGCCTCGTCTCCGAGGCATGGCCTCCCGTGTCCTTGTCATTGGTCTTCCCCGGTCTCTCCCTCCCCTTCCCCCGGGGCCTGCCCCTACCTGCGTTCCTTGCGTCGAGGGGCGGCAGCGCGCCGCCCCTCACTCCTCCGAGTTCCCTCCGACGGAGGCTCCCCTGCAGACGCTTTACATGGACGTATGGGGCCCAACCCGCGTCCGTGGCCAGGGTCACGAGCGCTACTTTCTGCTGGTCGTTGACGACTACTCGCGTTACACCACAGTCTTCCCCTTGCGCCGCAAGGGTGAGGTCACTGAGGTGCTGATCGACTGGATCCGCGCTGCCCGTCGTCAGCTCAGCGAGAGTTTCGGCTCGGACCTTCCTGTTCTGCGTCTGCACTCCGACAAAGGTGGAGAGTTTTCCTCCGACCTTCTGCGAGCCTTCTGTCATGCGGAGGGCATCCGCCAGACGTTCACGCTTCCGGCCTCTCCCCAGCAAAATGGGATTGCTTAGCGCCGCAATGGCATGGTCATAGATGTCGCTCGTACGTCCATGATCCATGCGGCTGCTCCCCATTTTTTGTGGCCGTTCGCGGTTCAATACGCTGCGCATCAGCTCAACCTCCAGCCCCGGGTCTTCATGCCGGAGACCACACCTACTTTGCGGTGGACGGGGAAGGTGGGCGATGCGTCTGCGTTCCGTGTCTGGGGATCTCGAGCTTTCGTCCACGACTTCTCTGCGGACAAGCTGTCCTCCCGTGCTGTTCCCTGCGTCTTCCTTGGCTTCCCCCCTGAC